TCCCAATGAAAAACCTGTATGAGTTTGTTGTTAAAATTTTTTTTTTTATTGAATTCATATGTTCTAGGTAGCATTTTATCATCATTTAAAACTGTTTTCAACGGAACCAGATGTTGTTGCTGGTACAAAAGCATTAGTCAATGAACATTATGATGAATTGGTAAATTTATAAATCACTTTTGATAATTAGAAAGTTATCTTAATACTTTAAATACTCAAGTCATTTTCTTATTTGATATTATTGTTGACGAGAGAATATATCCCGATTGTCGGACGTCGTTCGGCTTCATATTATAGTTAGGTGTAGGTCTCAATAAGACTAAGAAAAAATTTAAAAGGATTTGAGTTCATAGCTTACTAATGAAGAGTTATTATCGTTTTAATAAAATCTTTTCTGACTAACAAGACATTTTCAAAAAACTCAAAATAAATAGGTTCAAGCTAAAACTATGTCTATAAACCGATTTAATAGTTATTGGACAGTTGTGAAAGTTTCAACAAAAACGAACATGTCTTTCTCGAGATATTCAATTTCCAAAAAAATCAACAGTTTACCATACGAAGACACAGTGATCAAGTCTACTTGAAAATTGAATATCTTGAGAAAGACATGTTCGCTATTGTTAAAACTTTCATGACTATCTAATGACTATTAAATCTGTCTATAAACAAAATTTCAGTTCAAAACTGTTTATTTTAAGTTTTTCAGAAATATCTTACTTTCAGTAAAAATTTCATTAAAACCACCATAACTCTTCATCATTTAGCTATGAGTTCAAATCCTTTTAAGTTTTCCTTAGCTTCACCGAGACCTACTCGCACTCATAATATGAGCTCGAGTGACCTCCGACAGTTGGACATGTGTCCTTGTCAAAAGGTTAGAATTTTAAAGATACTGTCATTGTATGAAATATTGAGTCGAAACATGATTTTAGAGTTTTCTTCAAATACAAATTATCAATAATTATACAGAAGAAATTACTAACTCACTATCTTACAGATCGTGATAAACATATAAAAAAATTTTCGGAGATATTCTTCTATGTTTGTTGTTAATAATTAGTGTACAATTCAGT